ACTAAGCATACAGGGAAACACAGTTAAAGAAAGTTGGATCTGAGCACTAGAGCTATCCTCAGAGGGATTGGGGTGCAGAAAAAATCACACACCAATTTTATGTAAAGAAATAAGGTTAAAATAAACAGCAAAAGCAGCCTTAAATAGAAAAAGAAGTTGAAAAAACATAATAATAAGTCCTTGGACCAGATGTTATGATGGCTAGAAGTAGCTCTGTCTTCTCTGATAGTTTGCGGGTGATCATAAAACCCACATACCAGTGGATGTCATCTTCTATTAGCACCTTCCCAAGTGTCTACTCTGCTGCCCAAGTATTCTCAAAGGATCAGCATAGTGGCATAGCTCAATTCACCATTTACTTGGGTTGGTTGACTGCAGTGCAGTTTTATGAGACTGAAGAATGCATCTTTCTCCTAATCCCAGTTCCAAATTTAGTCCTAGCAAGCCTAAAGAACGCTTAGTAAAACAGGAACAACTTTGCTTATGCATTATCTTGAAGTAACTCTCTCTCCTAGTTGACTGCCAGGGCAGACATTATAGATCATGTTCCTGTTTGAAACATCGTCTCTGTGCTTTCTTCTATTTAAGGGAGGAGTAGTTTTACATTAAAAAAGGAGTCTGGGAACACAGGGCTCACTTGCATCCTAAGAAGTGCTGAAGCGTTAGGGGCTTTCTAGTCTAAAAATCAGCAAACAAGTATCCCCCGTGACGGTGAGAACAGCTGTGGTCGTGCAGGTTGTGCTTTGTACAGCAGCACCTGGCAGGGTCTCTGCTCCTTCCTCAAGCTCTATGTCCTGGCTAGAAGGTCATAGGGCAGAGAAGAACCATGTCAGTCTGAAGTAAAAGCTGGCTTTTTCAAATACACCCAATGACATCCTGAATTCTCCCAGTGGCCCTAACGTGACCATACCACAGCCATTAGAGTTTAGTGAAATTGATTCCACCATCGCCATCACCTCCCAGCAAGCACACAGGCCCTTTCTATGTTGTTCTCTAGGGTATCTTACTCAGAACTCAAGATTGTCCACAAATTGACCCGGCAACACGCTGTCACTACACCTTAGTAAGCTTCTGTGAGTCTACCTCTAACTTTCCTCTAACATAATTAGAGTACGTGCAGTAAAAAAAATTTTGATTTGGAATCATCAAATTTAGCCCAAATCCCTCTTGTTGCCAACATCCAGATAACCTTGAATACATTTCTCAACCTCGCTGCTTTTAGATTCTTATCCTGTAAAACTGTCACGATTACAGTGCTATTTCACAGATTGTGTTTCAATTAAAATGAGATAAAGAGAATGAAAACCATGTTTTAAATTGTAAATTTGATATACATATACGTTGTTAATAATTGCTGCTAAAAAACTCTTCACTTCCACCCCATAACCAAGTAAAATTAATTTTCCTGAGATCATAGTGTCATAGAACATAAGCAATGATGGAAATATATTAAATATTGTAGAGTTCCATTCAATTTATCCAACCACAAGAATAACTTATAGTAACTAGTTTTTGTATAGTGCATTTTAATGTGTTTATGGCGCATCTTGTCTCTTTGATTCTCACAATTATCCTGTGAGGTGGGTGATATTGTTTCCATTTTGCAAGTGTGGAAACTGAGCCATAGAGCAATAAAATACCTTGCCCAAAGTCACACGGCCAGCAAATGGTAGATCTACAACTTAGCCTGAGTCTTCCAAATCCTTCTAGGTTCTTTCAACTACACCACACTTTTCTCTCAAAGTATTCCTGTGTCTGTCACTTTATAGCAAGAATTTGCCAGAACAAATAGGGCTAATGGACTCAAACTATAAGTAGCAGAAAAACTACTTTCCTAAACTGAGTTTTCCACTTCTATTTCTGGAAAGATTTTGATCCTCCTTGCACCCTGCAGTTGTCAAGGTGAAAGGATTTTTTATTTGAACTTTAAATATTTCTGCATAAATAAAGAGAGCCTTCAATAGCTAACATCTCAGGAACTCTCAAAAGAAAGCTAAGGGCTTACTTTCTCTACTAGTATCATTATATATTATTACACTGTAGAGCGCCCATTTTGAACAACAGTTTTGTAAGAAAATATTGCTTGTTCTATCACTCATTAATGTTCTTGGTTGATGCTAATGAAAAGGAAAAAAGGTTACCAGATATATTTGAATATTACAATCACACAAGATAGGTGTCTATGGTTTTGGGGACAATGTGATAACCATTGATGTCGTTAATGGATCAGGTTTGAATTCTGGATTTATTACCTACAGATTGCTGATCTTGTCTCTCTAATTCTTACAACAATCAATCCAAGACTGAATAATGCTAACATTTAGATCTATCTCGGATTGTGAAGGTTTCTGTTTGTGGTTTTAAAACAATGCCTTGGCATAAGAACAAAATACCACTCTTGAACTCCCTTGGGCTAAATAATTTTTTGTGTCTCAGTGCTTCAGGTCTGACTTCACACTGTCAGCTTTTATGGCTCTAGATTACAATTCATCCTCAGAAATGAAGCACTTATTTGATCTGTGGAAAGTTACGTGGCTATAAGACAATCCTGTTGTTCATGGTTATTTTCCTCTTCAGCTCAGCAAAGAGCAAAAGCCGTAGAGTGCAGAAGTAGCACTCTTGTCTGAAAGCAAGGAAGAGCTTACAAAAACAAGCAAAAAGACATGGACTGATACACCTCTAAGAAACAGGCAAAACCAAGAGAAATTGAAGATCACATTCTTCATCTATCAAGCGCTATGTCTCGTCCTGCACACCGAAGACCAGCATATCATAAAATAGTAAGATCTTTCTAAAGAGAGATTTTTCTACTTCGGAGAAAATGTTTTCTTGAGTGATTTCTGATTTATTTCAAAAAGTGGTGCTATAAGAATTTTTAGTGGAGGAAAGAGAGTGTTCAGTGAGGTGAATCCTAAATGACACATCTAGGAATAATTACAATTATCTTGCACACAACCAATTCTTTATACAGACTTTAAGGTCTTCTTTTCTGACTAATTATACACATACAAATGTCTTTTTTTTTTTTTGCCTTTGACAGAAAATATGAAAAGATTAAGCCATTTTTTGTATTTCATACTTCAGGAAATAGGAAATTATATATATATGTATATATATAATAGTTGATTATGTGTAAAAGTGAATAGAAATAGGTCATCAAAAAACTAGGTATTAAAGAATTGCCTTTAAAAATGTTTCCTAGTCTTATTGTAACTTGGTATGTAACATTACTCTTTCTATATGTTCCAGGTTAAGAGTTATTTACAAAACTTATTTTTTGCTGGTTAGTTTTAAATAACATGCTTTAATACTCTCTTATAGTTTTAGTCATTCAAAAGCTACAGATACAAAAAATCATTGTTAACTTTCAAATTCTGTTAATTATTTCAGGAAACTGATGGGGATTTGATATAATTAAGTAATTTCAGACTTGGTGTTTAGGATTGTAGTGACTAAGGGCATACTTCAGTTTGAAATGCCTGCAATACTCTGGGATCTTGATTTATTTTCCTGTGGGGCTCTCAAGTGCTAAAAAATATGGTACATAGTTCATATTATATCTAAATCGCTTGATTTTATAAAGTAGTTAAAATGTATTTTTATACTAATACATTCATAACCTACTGAAATAGTTAATCATGTTCTTTCAAATATTCATATGATTATTTTTATTGTTTTAAAAACTATGACAATAAATTTATGTTAACCTTTCCTGGCATCTGTGGTATGGATTTGAGACCCAGCTGAACAGGTAGTTCAAGGTACAGTCCTTGGCCATGAAGCAGAATAGGGAAAGTTGGCCTTTACGGGTACTGAACCAGAAACTTGGCTGAAAATAAAATAGGTTTCAAGACAGAGTAGTGCCCACCCATCAGTGACAGAGAAGAAATTCCATTATTTCAGTTTGGCCAAAATTATAAATGGACATAATGCTGGGGCCATCGCACGTAGGTAGGGTATAATTTTTTTCTACTTCTCTCTTTTTCAAATTCTTTTGTTTTACTGCCAGTCAAAACAAACTCATCATTCTCTCTCTCTCTCTCTCTGTCTCCTGTCTTTCTCTCTTTTCCTCTCTCACCTCCCACCATTCACCTTTGCTTATCTTTATGCTGTAGCATTAGTATATGACCGCACTTTGTCTTCTGCTATGGCTCCTATATGTTGAACAGACTTTTCATTGATAATTTACCAGCATTTCTTGTGATTTATTATTAGGTTCTTTGAAGAACCCTAAGTCAAACCTGAATTGTCTTAAGTTTTAGTTTTCATTTATAATTCACTTTAAAAATGGGACATATTTTGGAGATCTAGAAGGAACTATCACATTCCTCTTTTTTCTCTAAGTAAAAAGAAAAGAAACTCACAAATTTGCTGCTACATTTGGGTTTATTTTGAAGGTCTCCGTGGCAGATCTGGGAGCCATTAGGGATTGTGCAGACTCCTGAGAAGTCTTATCCAATTATTTCTTCCAGCTGAAAACATGATTGGCATATATTTTAGAAAAACAGAAATTTATGTTAGAAATTAGTATTTTTAAACAACTGTCTCCATGAAAATACATCACAAGTTATCATGTAAGCAAATGCAAAGAAAGATATTCTCATATTAAGAAATTCATTTTATTTGCCTGTAATCCAGCATTTGGGAGGCTGAGGGGGGTGGATCACGAGGTCAAGAGACTGAGATCATTCTGGCCAACATGATGAAACCTCGTCTCTAGTAAAAATTACAAAAATTAGCTGGGCATGGTGGCATGCGCCTGTAGTCCCAGCTACTCAGGAGGCTGAGGCAGGAGAATAGCCTGAACCCAGAAGGCAGAGATTGCAGTGAACTGAGATTGCGCCACTGCACTCCAGCCTGGCGCCTGACGACAGAGCAAGACTCTGTCTCAAAAAAAAAAAAAAAAATCCCTTACCCACATCAATGTATCCAAATGTGAATATAATTTGTTTTCAAAGAGCAAATTGTTGTAATAATAGGAGGAAGAAAAAAATGTACAGATGATCTCTAAGGCTACTTACAACCAGATTTTGTTAAAAAAAAAAAAAAAAGAAAGAAATACAGTAGTATACTGTCGTAACTTGCCTATAACAAGAAACTACCCCTTTTTTTTCCAGAATAAAGATCTCTTTGTCCTTACCTATGGAGCTCTGGTTGCCCAGCTGTGTAAGGATTATGAGAAAGATGAAGATGTGAATCAATATTTAGATAAAATGTAAGTGGAAGTCTTTCATTCTTACGGAATATCTGTTGTTTCTTACATCACCTGCATTCTTTTGGCCTCTGATGACTTCTCTTGCTTCATTTCACCAGCTGTTCTTCTGTCTCAATGAATCACATCTGAAAGCCAAACATAATTTCTTACAAGCGCCATTTGGGTTGATAGAATAAAGTAATAGGAAGGAATTTCTTTGATAAGAATATCTAGTGTGGGATGTTTTCTCTTTAGTTAGAAATCATTTCTTAATTATAAGTTACTTAACAGTTGCTTATAAACAAAAGATGTGGTAAAATTGAAATTGTTCTCTTAACAATATGAGGAAAAATCAAATTTATTCTTTTCAGAAGTCTTTTGTTCTAACACAATTCCTTCCAATATAAATATGTGCTTACACAAGCATAGACCATCTATAGAAAGATATGCAACAAACTCATAATGGTAGTTTCCTAAGGGGAAGATGGGGAAACTGGGAATTATGAATTAAAGGGAGAGTTTCTTTTGTTCAAGATAGTATTCTTATTGTTTGAATGTTTTCTAATTATTACTATCCTTTTCTTAAAAACATATTAGGTAGAAAAACCCAGGCTGGGCACAGTGGCTACGCCTGTAATTTCAGCACTTTGGGAGGTCACGGAGGGCAGATCATGAGGTCAGGAGATCGAGACCATCCTGACCATCATGGTGAAACCCCATCTCTGCTAAAATACAAAAAGTTAGCCGCGTGTAGTGGCACGTGACTGTAATCCCAGCTACTTGGGAGGCTGACGCAGGGGAATCACTTGAACACAGGAGGCGGAAGTTGCCGTGAGCTGAGATCGCTCACTGCACTCCAGCCTGGCAACACAGCAAGACTTTGTCTCAAAACCAAACCAAACCAAACCACTTCTTTCTTTTTAAATGAGACCCATTCTCTTTGTCTTTATTATTGAAGATTCCTCCTGCACTAATTCTACCTTTTGATTTTCTCTGAATAACTATGTGATCATCAGATGATTGCCAGACAATAAAACATCTGTCAATGGTTTTTGAACTTCTTAATTATAAACTCTGAAGAGGACTCTAACAGAGCAAAGACTGGAAAATGTGTACTGGGTTGCAAGATTTATCTAGGAAGATTGAAGGAGAAAATTAACCTAACATTTTAGAGCTTTTAAAAAGGCTTCATTGTGTTTTCAGTTGAAATACAGAAAAACACAACATAAAGGAAAGATTGAAAGATCTTTTTAAAAACCCCCATTTTTCTTCTTTCTGTATACATATGCTTTTTCTTTTAAAAAAGTTCTATTTTTGTACACATGCCTTTTACTTTGCATTTCTATTTAATTAGTCAAGGGCCCTCACAAAGAAGAGAACTGCCCAACTGTCCACCTATAGATTTTTCAGTCACTTCCTTAGCTGAACTGTACATAGCTGTGAGAAATGTTAATGTCATTTTACACTAAGGTCACACTTAAACATCTGACATAGCATTTTCAGAAATTACTTCATTTTATTTGACATGTTAAACTTGCATTGCTTTGTGAAATAGCTGTAGAAAATAAAAAAGCTCACTGATTTGACTAATAAAAACCTCTGTTAAGCTGAGTACACATTTAACAAATATGAATGAAATATTAAAGAATAATTTTTTGAGAAGCTATAGAAAGATGTTTCTTTAAGAAAAAAAATTCACATTTAGATTTCCCTAATAGCTTCTGCTGAGAGCCTCTTACATTTTTAATTTATAAAATATCTACTTTGCAGAAACATATCCTTTGACCAAAGCAATATGTGTAGATATAGCACAGCTCATAACATTTTGGCTTCTGACCACTGTTCCCGGTGGCTGAGCGGTGGATACGCAAAGAGATAATTAAAAAACACTGGAAGCCGGGCGCGGTGGCTCACGCCTGTAATCCCAGCACTTTGGGAGGCCGAGGAGGGCAGATCACGAGGTCAAGAGATCGAGCCCATCCTGGCCAACATGGTGAAACCCTGTGTCTACTAAAAATACAAAAAAAAAAAAAAATTAGTTTGGCGTGGTGGTGCACACCTGTATTCCCAGATACTCGGGAGGCTGAGGCAGGAGAATTGCTTGAACCCGGGAGGTGGAGGTTGCAGTGAGCTGAGGTCGCGCCACTGCACTCCAGCCTGGAGCCTGGTGACAGAGTGAGATTCTGTCTCAAAAAAAAAAAAAAAAAAAAAAAAAAAAAACCCACACTGGAAATATTTTTTAATCCTGATACAACTATTTCTGTAAAGTAGACATTTTGATTGTTAAGTCTTTGCAGTGTGAGCTTCTTGGCTGAAATTATAAACCATTTTCCTCTAATGTCAAGAAAGCTAAACTGAATATTTCTATCTACTCAGAAATATAAACAGGATATCTCACAAGATTTATTGAATTCATAAGCACTCTCACATCAAATCTGCCTCCCTCTAACCCCCTAGTCACCAGAGAGTCCACCTCTTTTTAGAGCCTTGGGAGTAATCATTGCATCTGAACACTGTGGTGTCCTCTTGGGCATTTTGTGGCTCCATTGGAAATCATTTCGGTTGTCTACGTACATGTGGCTGTGAAATTGAAAGACCAATTTTATGACAGAGGTTTGGCAAAAACAGTATTCTGTTTGATTTCCATCATGAAGGTCACATTTTCTCAGCTAGACTGCAAGTTCTTATAAAACAGAGACTCTGACCTTTGTATCCTTTTGGGAAATTTACTTGTTTCTCAGTTTATCTTGCTGAAGGTGTGTGCTTAGCCACTTTAGCCACATATTCAGTGTGTATAATCACATCTCAATCAAAGGTTTTCAAAATTGTACTTCAGGCACTACTAGAGCTATTTTCTTGGGGTGGAGATAATACAATACCTTCCCTTAAGTCCCATACAGTAGTTTGTTTCCCTGGAGTGAAAAATGAGTTTTCAGGACTTGGCTGTTTTGTTTTTGTAAGCCTTAGAGTCTGAAGTTGCTGAAACTTTCACTGGCAACAAAAATTTTTTCTGCTCCCTTCTTCCCCTCCTTCCAGAGCCCATCCTGGAAATGCCAGCCCTTCTACCCTGATAATGATGCTAAGAGAAGAGCAAGCATCTGCATATCACACACGTAGCAGACACTTTAGCAAGACGCTCATTTGATTTCTGTCAATACCTAACGATGAGAAAATTAGTTGCCACTGAGAAACAATAGGCTATAGACACCAGCCTCCCTTAATTTTAATTTATATTGTCAAGTTTGGGCCAGTCTTGATTCTAGGCAGACTCTTTTGCTTGTAGGAGCCCAGTTAATATTTCCTTGGTGTGTTGCTCTCTGCTTCTGTGGTCTGTGGGACGAATAAGAAGCCCGCAGCCAAAAGCCATTTGACTCATCATATTTGGTTTGTGATTCACTTGCACAAGTGCTAAATACACAAATTCCTTCTTAAAAACTGATAAACTTCACTAATTAGAATTTTCAGACCACATTTTTTCCTTCATCCATAGGGGTTATGGCATTGGAACGCGGCTTGTGGAAGACTTTTTGGCTCGATCCTGCGTGGGAAGATGCCATAGTTATTCAGAAATTACAGACATAATTGCCCAGGTAACTGTATTTTTAGCTCTGCCAATACATTTTGAAAATCTCTGGTTCTTTTTGAATTTGGTAGTTTTTCTGCTCAGCTTGGACAGGTTCCATCTCTGCATTCATTGTTAGATACTGAGAAAGGAGATTCTGATTGAAAAGCATTTTGTTTCAGCACAGAGATAAAGCTACTGTGAACTGAAAGATGCATTTAAGCAACTGTAGATTTTCCTTACTACTATAAGCAATCATAGATTTTCCTGAATACATTTTTCCCAGTGTGAGACACACACTCTACACAGTGTGTATACACCCTACACAGAGTGTATGTCTTACACTGGGAAAAGTGTTTTCAGAAGGTAAACAGAAGGGGAGTGTAATAGGGCTCATTATACTGACTCATGCATGCCCCAAACCAGTTTCTTTATGATCATTTTCAGCACATGGAGGGAGATAGTTTTTGGCAGTATCAGAGAATATTGTTGTAGTCATTCCCAGAGTATTGTTTTCCCAAGAGAAAAATAGAACTTCCTATAAATATATTTGTTTTAAGAACTTTCATAGCCCTGATATGTAGGAGACAACTTGGAATCATCCAGGATTAGCTCACATTTATTAGAAATTAAACCGGAAAACACATCTTTAGACAGCATTTAAAAAATCTTGGCCTATGGTTATTAATACAGAGTTGTTCATTTATGGGAGACTCAGAAGATATGCATGTCTTCAGGTTTACACAACTGACCAATTAAGTCAGTTTCATTTTTTTTCTCTCCTAGTTCTTAATATTGTTATATATGGCCAAACTGGCTCTGTGCACGAGTGGCTGTCATTCTATGCCATCATGCTCTCTGAGCCTAAATGCAGTTTTACATACTCTTTGTCTTTCATTTCCACAGTAACCCTCTGAAGTAGGCAGAATTGGAGTTACTATCCCCATTTTCCAGATAAGAAAACTAAGTCCCAGAAATAATATGATGAACAGTGAATAATAGTATATGTGGGGGAAAATTCTACATTAAAAACATAATCCAAATGAAAGATTTTTCCATTTACTGATATTATTACTTGTATTGTTTCAAGGCTAGTGAATAATGTGGTTGAAACTGGTATCCCAGTGGCTTTCGACCTTAGCACAGTGAGTTTATCATACCACTAACCAGGTTGGGGAAAAAAAGTCCCTTTCTATGTTGTCAGAATATAAGTAAGATCCTGAAATGGTAGATTGAAAAATAAAATAATTTTTAATGAAATTAATTAAATGGGCAATACTACAAGAATACTAGCTGTTTTAATGGAAGGTAAATACTTGTCTTACATAAATGTAGATGGTTGTGTTTTGTCGCATTTCTAGTTGGTAGCCCCCTAGGCTTCTGGATTAGTAAGACACAGTCTCTCTATAATGAGGATGGTCACCCTGGTTTGAGAATGACTCTCTCTTGATCTTTGCCAAAATTCATCCCATTAGCTTAGTGTGGGCAGATCACTTGAGCTCAGGAGATCAAGACCAGCCTGGTCAACATGGTGAAATCCCATCTTTACAAAAAAATATAAAAATTAGCCGGGCATGGTAGGACAGCTGTAGTCCCAACAATTCAGGAGGCTAAGAGGGGTGGATGGCTTGAGGCTGGGAGGTGGAGGTTGCAGTGAGCTGAGATTATGCAACTGCACACCAGCCTAGGCGACAGAGTGAGACCCTGTCTCAAAAGAAAAAAAGAAAGAAATATTTAAGATTTTGTTTTGCAAATTCATAAGGGAGTAGAACATTGACCAATAATATGAAAACTTATATAATGTGGAAAATAAAACCTGACTCATGTGTTTAAGGTTGTTTGTTAGGCTTTGGGTATTTGAAGAAAATAATTTCAAGGGCGATTTAGAGACTTCATTCTAAAGACATGTTAGCACAACCAGCAAATTTTTATTCCTCTGTTTGTATACGTATAGTACACATCTTTTTCCATTTATTAATATATTCACTTAATTTTTAAAAGAGATGATTAGCAGAACAAAAAAATCTGCTGAAAAAACAGCAGTAACCAACTGGAAATAGAGGTATATACAACCTCATTGCTGAGAACCTGGAATTACATTCTGTCATGGTGTAGAGTCAGAGGTCATCTGAAATATGCTCAATACTGTAAATGCCCTTGGCCCAGAGAATATTGGCTGATCCAGTTAGAATAGTGCAGTGACATGGGAGGGAGGATTCTCCAGTTCTTTCTTACTGTCTATTCTTGGCTCTGAGGGCACCATTCAAATCACTGAAAAGCTTCTGAAGGGACTCAGAAGAGATAATTTCACATATTCATTTTAATCAGAGGAACATAAAGGAATAAGGCTTCTCTAGTAGAAAATAAAGACGATAACTTTAAAAATTAGTGTGATTAACTTCAAAACAGCTGCTAACAAATATCCCATATAAATCCTTCCCAGAGATGGCTAAGAAGTCTCACGCAGAACTTTCTTGTTACCTGTGGTCCTCAACCAGGATATTCTCCATTCTCTATTAGTCACAGAAAAATTACAGAGCTGAAAGCCAAATTAAATATGCCAATAGGAAGTATATGTTTATGTGGGGCCTGATGTAGGACTTCTTACTTGGTAGAGACTCAATAAAAATTAGTTGAAAGGAAAGAAAAGAGGAAGGGAAGAGAGGAGGAAGGAGGAAGAAGGAATAAAAGCAGTCTTTTGTTCAGGCTTCTTGGGAAGTTCCTTTTCTTCTGCAGAAGGCAGCGTGGGAATGCTCTTCACCTTGCCCAACACATTTAAAGGCTCCTTAAGTCCCTTCCATAAGGAACTACTCATTTTACCTAACAATGAAGTCTTCAATATGTGGAAATAGAACAAGAGTTCTTTGAATGCTCCAGATTAAAATAGAAAATGTTGAAGGAGAATCTAGTAAGAAATGTTCTTTGGAGAGCATAAGAGAGAAATTGAATTCATATCTCAGCAGAAAGAGACCATGAAAAAAAACCCAGAATGTTCCCCATTTCAGAAATTATATTCAGAAATAATATTCTGTCTTTAATAGAATAAAGAAGCTTCTAATGAAATTTGACCTCCTAATGATAGACAATTTTCACCAAGTTAGAAACAGGTGTGTTTGATTCTCCCCTATTAGAAACATGTACAACGTCTCCTTTCCAAATATCCCTTCTCTAAACTTTTTATGTCTTATCAACCATTTTGATGAACTCCTTTCCACGTCTTCTGTCCTCAGTGAACAGGAAAAAGATCCACTTCCACTCCTCTGCAAGATTCTTTCTCATCAATGAGGAGAATATTCATCACCTTCACCCTTCTCTAGTGTAGGTTGGTTGTCCCTGCTCTTTGCACCTTCCTTCAAAGGCTTGATGTCCTTCCTCTCAATCATTTTTACTTCTCCAGCAAAATGTTCCTTTACTTGTAGCAATAATGTCACCCATTTCAGGAGGATTTTGACACAGATGAAAGGTCAGACTTTAATTATGGGCCTGCCCACTGAGGCTGTGTTAATAATTAGCAGCTTTCATTAAAACGTTGGGTCTGAGGCAGCATTATCTCATTAATCGTTATAAACTCTCCTCAGAGAAGGCAGGTGCCAAATGATACAGTCAGTTTTACAGAGAACTACGCCAAGTTCAGAAGAAGTTTACTGTAGTCACACACTGCTCCCAGAGCACGGCAGAGTCAGCAATAGAACCAAATGGCTGTAAAATTTGTTTGGCTGCCCTCTCAGACCACACACTTCTACAGAACACCATCATCATCCTTCCCAAGTACTGAGCATCTAGAGGCCATGGCACCCATAGAACTCATGATCTCTGTCCTGTCTCTAGGGAAAGAAAACACAGAGAAGGAATCCATTTGAAGAGAATTGACTAAATGAAGAAACCTATACCCAGACAGAAGTGATCCCTCTGAGTTAGTAAAAAGACTGCATGTAGGAATAGGTTTCCTAAACTTACACTGCACTCTGCACGTCTCTGCCTTTGCAAGAGAAGCACTGTGTAACTTCGAGTATTCATAACATTCCTCTTTCTTCTTTTCCTCACTTGTTTTTTTCTTCATAGAGGAGGTCGGTCTGTCACTAGGCCTCTGACAATTTCTTTTAACAAGTAGTAGACCTTAAGTTGCGCCATCTAGTGGTCTGAAAAGAAATCTCATGACAAGGGCCAAATCGTGAAGGCAAAAATCTTTAGTTGGCCTCGCATTTTGTATTAAAAAAAAGACGTGCAAGCTAATTATAAAGTCTAGTTCCTACAACGTTAAAATGTATCCATTTTTAAAACAGAATTTTATCATATACAACTTAACTTTTTGTGGTGGTTACTTCAAAGTACAACTACAAAGATTAAATAAGACGTACTAATTTATTTAGAAAATTTAAAGTCAGCAATATTATAACACAATATTGAAAAACTTTAATAGCATTGATATTTTCTTTATAAAATTTCAAAGTAATTCCTACCTATTATCTGTATTTCCCTTATAAGAACCTTGTGAAATAAAAAGAGCATCTATCACCTATCATTAGCCCCATTTTACTGGTGGTGTAATTGAGACTTATGTGATATCACCATGGACACATAGTAAGAAAATCCAGCTTAGAATTTAATTCTTCTGACCTTATTCTAGTGCTTTTTCCACAAAATAATTGTTTAAAAGATGTCTTTAATTTTTTTTCTACTATGATAATTGTTCTGAGAAAACCTTTGTAGTTGGTCTAGATGAAAATGTGTAATTTGCAGTAGAATGACCATAGCTGATTTTAGTTGTAGTAATAAAATACAAGAATTTGACTGTTACTTACACACCTGTATGTCTTTCTGTTTATTACAAGAGAAAGTAGAAAATACAATTGCACCTCTCTTTGGTCAAAGACCCAAAAAAATAATACCTCCTTAGTTATACAAAATATATTTTAAGGTTTCCAAACCCATTTATGATAAAATAGTTTTGTTATTAGGAGAAGCTAATTAGATATAAACGTGATCATTAAATCAAGATGATTATAAAGGCCAGGCTTGACAGTAACT